CATAGTCACATTGATTTAAAAATAACATATTTTTATCCTTCTTTCTCCAAATTTGCATGTCCAATATTCTTTTAGCAGCACCAAGGTCTTTCATATCAAGCTCAGAACTTAACTTTGATTTAATATCATCAATTTTTGATTTATCAGAACTAGCCAACAACATATCATCCGCATACATGATTAGATATAATGAGTTTTCAATTCCACTACCTTTGCAGTACAAGCAAGTATCATATTGGCTTCTTTTAAATCCAAGTTTCAAGACAAAGGTGTCAAATCTTTTGTACCACTGCCTAGGTGCCTGCTTTAGGCCATACAATGACTTCTTTAACAAACAAACAATGTTTTTAGGATCACCTTCCTCAAAACCAATTGGTTGTTTCATGCATATTATTTCATCTAATTCTCCATGCAGGAAAGCAGTTTTAGCATCTAGTTGATCAAGTTCCCATTTAAATTGTGTAACAAGTGCAAGTAAGCATCTGATAGTAACATACTTAGCAACAGGAGAAAAAATTTCAGTATAGTCCACACCTTCTTTTTGTGTGAAACCCTTTATTACAAGTCTAGCTTTATATCTTATGTTTTTATCATCACCTTCTCCAGATTTTATTTTATAAATCCACTTGCAATCAATTAATTTTTGTCCTTTGGGCTTATCAATTAGAATCCATGTCTTATTTTTAAGGAGTGAAGACATTTCATCTTCCATGGCCATTTTCCAATTTTTTCTTTCTTTACATTTCATGGTTTCTTCAAAAGTGTTTGACTCATTTTCAGTGAGGTCTTGGTAGGTAAATAAGGATACAAAGGTGTCACTATCAAACCTAGTGGAGGGTCTAATTTGCCTTCTCTCCCTATCTCTTGTGAGTTGATACTCATCAAAGGGAAGAGTTGCAGAATCAGCATTTTCAACATGTTCAGTTTCATCTTCAGTTTCAGGTAAAATAACACGTTCTTCATTTTCATTTTCTTCTGCAGTAGTTACAGAAATATTCTAGTTACTGTAGGAAGGCTCCACCTCAATTTGAACATCTTTTTCAGTCAAAATATTTTCTTTTCCTTCAAGACATGGCATCAAGGATTCATTAACGACTACATCATTCCTAATTATTACTCTATAACCTCTTTGAGATTTAACCCATAATATGTACCCTTTAACATGTTCATCATAACCCAAGAAACACACTTTAATGATCTTGGTTCTAGTTTACCAACATTTTGATGAACATAGGCAGCACAACCAAATATTTTCAGATAAGAGTAATTTACAGGACTATTTGACCACACATTTTCAGGAATAGCAAAGTTTAGTGCACTAGTATGACTTCTATTAATCAAATAAGCTGTAGTTTTAACTGCTTCACCCCAAAACATTTTAGCCAGTCCGGAGCTTAATAGCATGCATCTAACTTTATTTAACACAGTTCTATTCATTCTTTCAGCCATTCCACTTTATTGTGGTGTGTGTAGAACAGTTTTGTGTCTCATGATGCCATATTCCTTACAAAGATTATCAATTTCAGAATTGCAAAATTTCAAACTATTATCAGTTCTTAAATATTTTTATTTTAAGATCAATCTAATTTTCAACTTGAATTTTCCAGTCCTTAAAAGCAAAAAATGTCTCATCTTTAGACTTTAGTAAATAAACCCAAATTTTTCTTGAGAAATCATCAACTATTAGTAAAAAATATTTAAAACCAGTTAAAGTAGAGATAGAAGCAGGACCCCACAAATTAGCATGCAAATATTCTAGTCTTTGTTTGGACTTATGAATTCCACTTTGAAAAGGAAGTTTGGCTTACTTTTCCAAAATCCAATGTTCACAGGAGCCAAAATTACCAAGATTATGTTTTCCAAAAACACTTTTTGATTGCAAAATATTTAAACCCTTTTTACCAATATGACCAAGCCTTTCATGCCATAGTTTTGCCAAAGTAAATTTTTTAGATACAACAGAAGCAGTTAAACCAAGCAAATGTTTTGCATTCAGAAAATAAAGGCTATGTCTCTTAGGGGGCTGAAGTGACCAAGTCATTTCCCCTGAGAATTTTTATATGTCCTTGACCCATAATTATGTTAAACTCCTTGTCATCTAACATTCTTAAAGACACTAAGTTTCTTTTCAAATCTGGGACATGTCTTGTGTTTTCTAGAAACAAAACATTACCATTTTCTAGTAATAATTTGACAGTCCCAATTTCACTGACTTTACATGCAAAGTTGTTTTCTATTATAACCTGTCCCCCTTTGATTCTTTCTAAATTTATAAAACAGTTTTGTTGGGGCACATATTAAAAGAACATCCCGAGTCAAGTATCCATTCATTACTTAGGCATTTTTCAGCACTGACTAACACAAAACCATTTTCTGTTTTAGTTTTATCATAGGCCAGTGCATTACTTCTATCAAGGCCCTTTTCTTTTGAATCATTTTTCTTTTAAAACAATATTTTGCAAAATGACCAAGTTTACCACAATAATAACATTTTTTTTACCTTTTGCATTATTTTTTGTCTTACTTCTATCAACTCATCTTCTATTAATTTTTGAAAACTTAAAATTTTGTGTAGGTTTTTCAAAAGATTTTCATTTAATTATGAAACTAGTTCCAGTATGACTGTTACTTGACTCAGCCTTAATTTCTAAAACTTTATTCCTTAAAGCATTGGTTATATCATCAACAGTGAGTTCTTCCCTACCATATTCAAGGGCAACTTTAATGTCCTTATACTTGTCACTTATGGAGTTTAACAGAACTACAGCCAATTGATCTTTTGAAAGTTTTTCATCACAATTGGCCAAGTCTTGAATAAGTTTTGTGAGCCTACTAAGGTTCTCTTCTATGTCAACTGCAGGATCCATTTTAAAGGAGAAAATTTGTTTTAAAAGAAAACATTTGTTTGGAGTGGTTTTGGTCTCATACTTAGCCTTAAGTTTGGCCCAAAGATCAGAGGCAGACAAATACAGAAATATGGTACTCCAAGCAATTTCCTCAAGTTCAGATTTCTTATTAAGTGCTAAACCCTCAGGCCATGAACTATCGCCTTAGCACATTTCATTTGCATCAAAATGGCTTTCATTTTCTGACTCTATATATCAAAATCAATTTTACTATCAAATTGACTCACTTCAAATTTTACAGTAGCCATAATGCATGCAAGTTATTACAAACAGGATTTTAGCAAAAAATCAAAACAGTTGTAAACAGAAACCCTAAATTGCCAACTTTGAAATCACAGTAAATCACAAAGTAATACAGGATTTCAGCAATCAAAAAATATCAACGGAGAGCAGGTTTAATCAATCAACAGAAAACCAATTAATGAGATCAGATTATAAGGTTTCACAGATCTCTCCAGCAAGATTCTCCCAAATTACACACTCGTACTTGATTTATCTCAGATTCCAGTGACCTCGCAAGAGCCACTGGACAAAGATTAATCTCAAGGGGGTTTCAACGGTGTATTGGAAAATCAGGGAGAGTTCAAGAAACTCAAATTTCTCAAGTGTAATATACAGTTAATTGAAAAGATCTCACTCAACGAGTTCAATGACTCGAGGCAGTTCAAATTTGCTTTTCAACAATTCCAAAAAATTCAAGATCTATTGAAGATCCAGCTTTCTCTCCAAGATCCGGGTATCTTGCTCCTTAGTAAGGCTCTGATACCATTGTAAGGCAAACGTCACACAACATTAAACCGAGAAGCAAGAAATTGAAATCGACCAAAAGTAAACTGTGCAAAAAATTAAAGAATCAACACAAGATTTCTTTCGGCCTAAGCCCCGAAGGTTCGCTAACCACATCTAACACCTACATCCCCTGTTGAGTATCCAACAAGTTGAATTACGCTCGGTTGCATTATAATAGCCAAAAATGGCAACGAAAGGTTACAAGAGTTCAACAAATACACTGAGATGAAGCAAAGATACTTATCTCTCAAGATCAACTCAAAACCTTCGAAGAATCACGAAGAACCTTCACTTCATCCCTCTAAAAACATCATAACAGAAGAGGACACAAACCATTACAGATAATCACTCAGAATATCTAAACGAAATCACTAAGACTTTTACATTTAAGGCCTCAAATCAGAGATTTGAGCCACAGAATCGAGCAGAACAAACCCTAACCAGACGAGGGGTTTTTCTCTCTCTCTCAAAGATAAAGAGTCAAAAATGCGTAATGGGGTAATCAAAGCGCCAAGTGAACGGCACGTTATAATGGAAGGTTTGAGATTCAATCCAACAATCATGGTTCAGCCACGTGTCACCATCCAGTTGAAAGTGCCAATTTAATAGAGTTGCATTTCCACAAAACACGACTCCACAGTATAATAAAATTCTGGAAGCAAACTACCATGGTTCGAATCTCACACGGTCAAAAAGGAAAAGAGGAAGATTTCTCATTTTTCTCTTTCCCCTTTCAACTAGAAATCTTTATGTACACAGAAGGCATTAAATCCCTGTTGCATCTAGCTTGCTGTATAGCAATTAAATAAAAATTAACAGTAGACAAAGTTGGATTTCTGAAAGTTTTCGATCCAGAACCATGTTACCTAGGCTTGTTAATATATATTTCTCAATGCATGCATATGGGTAAAAAGTTAGCCTACTTTTCACAATCTAATCTTTGTAGCTTCTTACCTTCTAAATTATGACTTCGCTAGAAATGATTGTGGTCATTTGCGTGAAATAATAAGAATACAATACTCAGCTCTATTTCTTTTAAAGGTACAAAGATGTAAACTTTGACACACCTTCCCTCAAAATGCAGACATGTAAAGAAGAAAGATTTAAGGTGGCAGCCCCGATCTAGTGCTGATTAGTAATACGACTGATTCTTTCATGAGTAGTGTACAATCAACTACTAGGTACTTGAAGACAATGGCACACCAACGAGCTCAACATTTCTGAAAGAAATAATTTCAAGAAATGGACAAATGGACAAAATTCACAGAAATATCTCATCTATGCAATATGCAGTGTCACGGAAGAAAAATATCAGATGAATTACAAAGGGATATTGATGTAATTATATCACAGAACCAAAAAAACACCGTTAGTGATTCCAGCATTCTTTTGTTAACAAAAGAGAACATTGAATTGTAAAATCACATAAAATTTCAGAGTAGATGTAATATCAGTTTCCTTCTTGATGGAGAATACTTTACCTCCCCCTCTAACAGTTGAATTCTAACAATGTTCTCCTCATGTTCACCTTCAAGTTCTTCTAACATTATCTCCATCATTTTATGCTTTTTGATAGCCATAAACAGCTCTTCTTCTAGTTCATTCCTATCCCAGAGAACACTTTCTAATTCAGTCCTCACTCCATGCAGCTGCAACTCTTGCTGTACATGAGCTGTTCTCATGTTAGTTACTGTAAACATTCTATAAAACAATGAGAATAACGAAAGCAAAGAATATTCTTCCACCAAAATCTCTAGGTAGCTCTCTTTAAATTTTAGTCTTCTTTCATTTATTATTGGTTCAGTAGGACCACAGAAATCTACACAAAGAACAGCACATAGACTTGGTGGATGTCATCAAATCAATCTGGTTATGATTATGGACCATAATTTCTTCACATCATATAAAGCAAATATTTGCCAAAATCTGATCAATATGTTGAATTTACCAAACAGGATTCGATATTTTTATCATATTCTAAATTGCATTCCAACGTTGGGGAAATTTCCCTAACTATCATGTCATCAATAAATTGCATGCGCATGACACTGGATAAGACTTGCCTAAATTTCAATAATAGGTAATCTCAAACGTGAAAATTACAAACTATGTCCAAGGGGACCCCCCCCCCCCAAAAAAAAAAGGTACATCTTGCGCCTATTGGCCGCTGTTAACTATCCAAGAAGACACGCGAAACTGGAAGGATAAAGAACCCTGCTACATTAATTAATAGTAGGCAACAAAAAAACAGTTAATGTTAGTTACCAGTCGAACCCTGTGCAATGCAGCAATAGCTCGCATAGGAAGAGTTACTATCATAATTGTCCAGATTGCAAGCTTCCAGAAGATAATGATATTGAGATAGATAGAAGCTCTCAGCGGCTCTATGCATGTCTGAATTGCAATAGTGATGCTACGCAAGGCAAAAACACAAGAAAGCTTAATTAGTGAGAGAGGGGCTTTTGCCAACCACAATATTGAACATGTCAATTGTAAAAGGATTGCTGTCATATTCACTATTGCAAACTGCACCGAATTATTTACTATCCACACGACATCTGCATAAAAATCCAAAAATCAAAGTACGACTTACACAACAAAGTTGTAATAAAAGAGAAGAGTAAGGGGCATTTCCCAACCTGACAGTTTTTAGCTTGATAGACTTCTCAACATTAATCAAGCATCATCTCCAATTTCAAGGGGAAGAATGATATCTCTAAAAATTATCAACCACCCCAAACAGAAGAAATAAACATTAGCAAGACTAATGACGATGAAAATACAGTCCTGAGGAAGACACTCAAAATAGATGAGCATAGTCAAGCTCAATGTTCTCAACAACCAATTTGAGGAAATTTCTTTTTTCTTTTTTTTTAATGAGGATTATGTATATAAATATTGAGGATAAAACAGATAATGTATATAGACAGAAAAATCCATATGGACATCATGTAGTTAAATAATTTTAAAAAATCTAAAACTCATAACCTTCTTACAGTATGTACAGATTGGTTGCTTCTTCTTACGCTTTTGTCCTATATACTCCCTTGCCTCATTTCGATGAATCACCTGGACTGTCTTCCCTAACGGCCTCTTGCCTGGCGGTACTTATTAGTCCCATTGATTTTTTAAAGATCCGTACATTGGTTCATATATAGAGATAAAAGTGTATGAAGACATGGTTAAAACATAAAGTTTTATTCAAATAAGAAGGTTTAAGGGAAAAGAACTCTTAAACTTATTTATTTACATGAAAGATCCATTGATGATTACATATTGTAAGAAGGTTATGAATTTTAGATTTTTTAAAATTATTTAAATACATGATGTCCATATGGATTCTTCTGTCTATATACATTATCTATTTTATCTTCAATATTTATTTACAAAATCCCCGTAAAAAAAGAAATTTCCTCAAATTGGTATCAGAGCCATGAACAATGAGAAAACCCATAACAAATAAATTATCTATAAGAAGTAAAAAAATTTAGATACAGGTTAACACTTAGATTTTATTTAAATCTAATAAATAACAGGTTAAGTGTTAGACAATTAAAAGAATATTTAGGTTACACATCTATAAAAGAATAATGATTGATTGTCATAATTCTAATACACAAATACTTATATTCACATCTGAATATGAGATTTACAAATATTATCAAGACAGATACAATTATATATTGTATACATGAATACCAAGAAGTACAGTAACTATAGCTAAATTATGTATGATTAATGCATTGCAGAAATATGAATATAGTGTTAAAACTTTTATTTTTATTATATTACTTGTCATTATTAATTATGGAAGTTGAAAACCATAATTGTGAAAATAATGATAATACTGATGAAATCTATGAACAGATTGAATCACGAGGAAATTTCTCAAAAAAATTCTAATTTCTGAAAAAAAAAATTAACTAAGATATGTAAGACAAAACTTACAATAGAACCTAAAGAGATATTTTCTCAAATAGGTTTCTTAGACAGATTTATGAACAGAAACAGACATGGATATTATGGCGTAACTCAAAAAGAGTTTGCTATACATATATAACATACATATGGTAAGATAGAAATTTCCTTACTTACTAAACAAGACATAAATAAAGCTAAACAAAAGAACGATCTTGACAACAACAAGAATCTTTTTTGGGTCACTATAGGAGCATTTCGAATTCAGATTCGAAGCAACTTGTCTGACAAAATTGATCAATCCATTTCAATGAGCTTGATTGATAAAAGAATTCAGAATCCTACTGAAGGATGTCTAGAATCCCTTGAAGGAAACCTAACATGTGGAAAACTAATATTTACAATTTATCCCAAACTTTCAGTAAGTTTACATGACCAAAACTTTGACAAAATATTATCTTTTATGCATAAGTATGGAAGAACAGATTTAGTTAAAGACAATAATGTACCTTTTTCAATATCATATCTTGTTAGTTATGCTATTCATAAACAACATAATATGACTATAGTCAAAGAACCAAAAAGAATAAAAATTGATCATTTATTCTCAGATTACCTTGAACATAAAGAAACAGAATTTGAATGGTTAATACAACCATCCAGAAAATCATTGGAAATTAATTTTAATGATCAAAGAACATTAATTAAAGAACAATGACCTCTTCTAACCAGAAGTTTGTCTTTAAATAGAAATCCATTTCCAAATGTTAAATGGAAGGATGAAGAAGAAACTAGACAGTTAAAACAATTAAGTAAAACTGTTAATGAAATGGCTAAAATTATTTATGGAGAAGAATAATAATATATGTCTATTTTAGATATATTAAAAGAAATTAAGATATTAGAAGAAAGTATTGAAGAAATCAAAAATAATATTAAAAATCTTCAAGAAAATACAGAAAGTTTAATGGAAAAACACTCTGCTGTGATTATAGCAGGAGTTAAAAAATAACAATACTCTTCACAAGAGAATTTCAAAAATTTCTTTAGGAATTTTTGAAAAAGGGGAAGATGTAGAAAAAGAAAAAGAAAAACCTAAAGGAACGTTTGATATTAAATTTTTGAATTAACATGGCAAAATTTAGAAAAATCTTGAAAATATTTATGAGACTAGTAATGAACTAGGACTCTTAAATGTTCTTCTTGCATTTGAAGACTCGGAGTTACAAAAAATTGAAAATATTGTTAGAAATATTAAAATTGAAAATAATGAAAATATTATGACAATTAAATCTGATGATGAGGTATCAAACTCTCTGAATCTTTAATTGAACTAGAAAATCTTTGGGAATCTGATGAAGAAGTTATAATTCATGAAAGATTCTTCACTAATAGGAAACCTGCTATTGTTATAAGGGAACCTAAACAAGAATAAGGAATTAAAGTTGACGATCCATCATCAACTAGTTATAATCCAAAGGGAGACGGAAAAAGGATTGAAGGAGACAAGAATCCTAGATCTATTCCGATAGGTGAGGAAATTGACCAGAATTTTTTTTAATCTGAATATGTTCCAAAAAGAAGTAGCCAGCAAGTTACAATTCTGGATTTGGATTGTACACTGGAACATGAGAAACTTATAGATGCATGGTACAACCATATAATGGTAGCTATGATAGTTAATAAAGAAATTATCAAAAATGAATCTAATTCTAGGAATTATGTGTTAGCCAGTACTAGAGGAAATGTTAGATCATTTTTAGAAAATTTTGATCATAATGTAAAAAAATATTTTATGGAGAGATTCTCAATATAATATTCTGCAATTTATCAAAAGAATTGTTGAACAACTTTACAAACAGTTCACTGGTCAAACTTATGAAGCATTTAAAAGTGAAAGAACCAAGATTGAAATTGCGGATGCACTAAATCATTGAGAAAAAATTTCTATTTGTGATATGTTTTATTTTGGAAATTATGCATGTGAATTTTCAAAATATTTTTATATATGACCAGATGACAAATGGACTGAATTGACTGACAAATTTATTAGAAAATTTCCTAGACCCTTTAACCATGAGATTATGGAACTTTTTAATAATGCAGTGATAAAACAAGAAAATAATGTTGATCCAAAACTAAACATCAAGATTGATGCTTCCTTAGGATTAACTATTACACTTACTAGAAATCTTTTGGCAAATAAATGCAAAGAAAGCATTTTAGTAGGAGACTCTATTGTGAAAAATATCTCAATAGAATCCCAGGACAGCATGGATGTATAACAACCAAAAAGAAAGAAACAAAGAAAAAATCTTTTAAAAAGAAGAATTATATATTTAAAAGAAATAAAAAACCATACTAGAAAAAAAATTTCAAAAAGAGAAATTTTTTTAAAAAGTACCAGAAAAGGGAAAACAAAGAAAAAGAAAAGAGGGTAGATAAGAAAAACTTTTGTCCTCAAAAGAAGAAAAATTGTAGGTGTTGGCTCTGCAATGAATCCAGACATTATGCAAATAATGCCCAGCAAGATTGAAAAATGAAGAAAGAATTATACTTTTAAATACATTCCAAAATAAAGATTACTACTCAGTAGAAAATCCTAGTGATACAGAATCACTATATTATCTATCTACTGAAACTGAATCTGAATACTCAGAAACAGAATCATCAGAGGATGAGTAATAAAAATATTACCAACCCTAATTCTATCTATATTCCTATAAAATTAAAATTTGAAGGATATAGAAAGATTATTATCCATGCTTATGTTGATACTGGAGCTTCAGTATGCACAGCAAGTAAATGGATTATACGAAAATAATTTTGGGTAACATCTGAAAGAATCTTAATTTAAGATAGCAGATAAATCTGAAGTAAAAACCTCTAAGGTAGTAAAAGGATTGAATATTGAACTTAATGGTTACCATAAATCCCAATGAAAAACCTTTTATTTCAAAATACCTACAGTATACCAACTTGAAACTGGTATTGATTTTATGATTGGAAATAATTTTTCCCAATTATATCATCCATTCATTGAAGAAATTGAATCTATTAGTTTTACTCTTAATAGTAAAAGATTATGGATTCCAAAACAAAGAAAAGCGGTAGCTATGAATACTTTGCAAAAAAAATTCTTGAATACAATGAAGATTGATAACAAAAAGAAGGATTCTAAAGAATGTCAAGGTGAAAATATTGCACAAAGAAGGCATATTTTTATCACTAATAATGAAAAACAAGAATTCAAAATTAACTCTCATAGAGAGGAAATTTTAGAACTACTTGAAAAATGTTGCTCAGAAAATCCTTTAGATCTTCAAAAGAATAAAGGAAATATGACAGCAACCATTGAATTACTAGATGAATTTAAAATAGCTATTGTTAGAGCTAAGGCAATGGCTTATAGCCCTAAAGATAGAGATGAATTCTCAGTACAAATAAAAGAATTGCTTGAATTACAGGTTATTAAACCCAGTAAATCTTAATTTTCTTCACCAGCCTTTATGGTAAGAAAAGAAGCAGAAAAGAGACGTGGAAAAACTAGAATGGTAGTTGACTATTCTCAACTTAACAAAATTACTAAGACAGATGGATATTTAATTCCAAATATGCAAAGTCTATTACAATTAATAAAAGGAAAGAAAATATTTTCATCATTTGATTGTAAATCTGGCTTTTAGCAAGTAATACTTAACCAAGAAGCAAGACATCTTACAACATTTACAAGGACATTATCAACGGAAGGTGGTACCATTTGGGCTAAAACAAGCACCAGGTATTTTCCAAAGACACATGAACAATATTTTCAGAAAACATAACAAATATTGCTGTGTATATATTGATGATATTTTAGTATTTTCTCATACAGAAGATGAACATGAAAAGCATGTAACTAATGTTTTAATGGAAGCTTATAATACAGGAATTGTGCTATCTGAAAAGAAAGCAGAATTGTTTTAGGAAAAAATTGGATACCTTGGGTTAGATATAGCAAATGGCTATAAACAACTTAAGCCCCATATCCTTATTCATATTCAAGAATTTCTAAACAAAATTCAAGATCAAAAACAGTTGATAAGATTTCTCGGATGTCTCGCTCATGCAGAATCTTTTATAAAAGATTTAGCCAAAATGAGAACACTACTCCAGAAAAACTCAAAAAAGATTTTA